CCACCAGGGAGGGCCACCATTCACTTTTATGTGTTCTCGTTTGCCTCACTGTAGAGCACTCAGCAAAGGGGCTTAATGAATGATTGAAGCTAAGAAATAAGGCCAATCTAATTCCTGAAATCATTCATGTATTGCTTTGGTGGGATTATGGAGAAAACTGCTTTTGTTAGGCCACTGCTATGTTCAGGAGATTGTGCTGGCGTGGAGGGGAAGTCTGAGCAGGGCCTGGAGAAATGTTTTTGGTTGAGTCAGGCTGCCATGAGAAACTTCTCTGAGTGCCTGGTTTTCCTGGAAGACCTGGTGTCTGAGATCTGCATACTCCTGAGATTCTGACACTGTCTGTTTTCTGGTGAGGAATAAGAGTATCATTTGATTTTGATGTTTTGGATTGAAATTGCTTATGTGTTTGTCTTAATGATAAAAATGAAAGTGGGACATTTGTATTTTTACCTCTTTGCTTATTTGAATGGACTCTAAATAAGGAAATGAAAATTTTCTCAGGTTTATTGTAAATGTTTAGAAAAGAGTAGTCAAGCATCCTTTTAGAGTTCTAGAGTTGGGAAATAGGGACGAATTTAGGTGTGGTTATGGCACAGTTGGGAATCTTGTTTTTGCTAATATTACTAATTCAGTATACAGTGACTCTTGGGGCTGGAAGGCATGTTAGAAGTTACTAAATCCAACCTCTAAATCTCAGTGTATCTTACCTTTGAAATTAAGAAATTTCAAAATACTATGTCTAAGACATTTAGCACTGTGAATAATTGACAACAGATATCAGAATAGTGACTATTAATACTGACTGGAGTGTGTCCAAAAGACAAGGAACAGGATGGTAAGTAGATTAAACCAGGAACTGGGGTTTGTTAATACAGAGGAAAAGCAGTTGAGAAAGGAGGCATGGAAAACAGTTGGAGAACTGCCAAGTAGAATATTTGGATTTTATATGTCTCTTGTTGGTGCTAAGAACAAAAATTACTGTTGGAGAGGTGGAAGCTCCAAATTAGTGACATGATTCTAAGGCTTAGAATTATATTAAGTTAAACAGACTGCATTGAGATATAGAGGAGGTGCTCATGTTCATCAGGCTGATGTAACTACAGTAACATTCTTAATTAGAAGTGACATTCATTCCTATTTTTCAGATGACCTTTGAAGGCAGGATCTGGATTATTCAGTCTTTCCAGAGGCTGCCTGACACCTGCTTGGCTCTTACTGATTTTCAATGAATAAAGTTAAAATGTTTTCAAGCACCAGATTTACATTTGTCCTATTTGTCAATTTGTAATGTGTAATATATGCATCTTTCTTTAAAATGTTCGGGTGGTTTTTTCCTTGAAAAAGACGTCTTGCCCCATTTTTTTTTTGTTTAGTTCTTTATTTCATGGATTGTTGTAAAATGCTTACATTCAGTGTCAGCATATTAGTTGTAACCTTTTATTGCTATTGATATCTATAAGTACGTTAAGTAAATCTTCATTTTGCTGACCTCTTTGAGGATGCGTGGCATCAGCAGATTCTCTCTTCCAGTGGACAGGTGAGAGATTAGCAGGATCAAGTCAATTTTTCCCTTTTTGCTTTGTTTTCTCCAAAGCAGCAAGATTCATTGTCTACCAAGAGGGAAACTGTGTTAAATGGCAGAATTTGTATCCTGCTTAATGATTTAAAGAGTGGATGTAAATTATACAGCTTGTTTGCACAGTGTCTTATCCTTACTTCTGTAAGCGAATTCTTTTGTAAAAGCTGCTTAAGCAAGACAATCATTTTGACTCTGCCAGATTAATAGCACAGTAATTAATAGCATAAGAGCTTTCTGTATAAAAATTGGGTTATAGATAATTTGAAATAGCCTTTTTCTCTTCCCTCCTGAGATAGGTAAGACTGCTTTGCTACACAGATTTCATTTTTTAGGGAAAAACCTTCTTGCCCTCTTGCATGAGAATTCCTGGGGTTATCTTTTAATTTGCATGACCACTGGAGGGAGTCAGCTAGAGGAGTGGGTCCTTGTGACCTGGTAGTAACCCTCTCCATCCTCTGGGGTGAGGAGAGGCTCTAAGGGGCCCTGAGAGCTGGGACATGTGAGTCTTTTAAACTGTAATTGCAAATTACCTTCAATAAAGGGGAGGTGGGAACATGAGAACACTTTACTTTTGCGAATATTTTTAATTTTTTTGTCATCTGTTCTGATTATTTTCCCCTGTATGCTTTGTAGGAAACTGGATCTCTAGAAGAATCCACAGATGATTCTGAGGTAAGATGATAATTTGGAAATCTTGGCATTTCTGGCTGTTTTGTTGTTTGGAACTGGTTCTGCTTGCTACCTGCAGTGTTCTCAGGGGCTGGGTGGTGAAGTAGAGCTGAAGGTGATTGAGTCTGCGGGATGAACATGACTGTGGTCTTTAAAATAGTAAATGGATTTGCTCACAAAATAAGAGGAAAAGGAACAAAAAGTTTTCTCTTGATTCTGTACAGTGTTTTAACTAGAAACATGTTGGCAGTGGGGCCATTAATGCAAACTTTTCTGATTTTTTGACACCTTTAAATGCCTGTTTTAAAAAATAAGCAGAGGTTCTGCAATACTTACTCTTTCTCCATTCTTTTAATAACTGTGATGTGCTCATGGGTTTAATTTCTGAATTATTGAAATTGTGATTTATTTCATAGAATTAAAAGGAAAATACTTTAGAGCTGGTAGGTAGCTGTGTATATTGTATATTAATGAGAAAATGGTAACATATAAGGAAGGACTATTTAAAAAATCTTTTTTCAAGGCTATGAATAAGATATAACACACTGGGGGAGGGGCACAGTGAACTATAATGGAGGACTGTGGGTCCCTTGGTGAGTGTGCAATGGTGACATTTGTCTGAGGAGGTGTGATCCTGTGTGGCTGAGTCACATGCAGTGTTGTGAAACAGTGTGACCTCAATTCAAAAAAGGTCTAATCACTTCTTTACCTTTGGCTAAGATCAAATGAAAAAAGTCTATATCACAAAATAAAGAAATGAAACAATGACATATTGTTAAATTTATAAATGGATTAATAATAATTGCAGTTTTTCCTTTTAATTTTTCACTTAGCTCAGGAATATTAAAAACATACCTAGGATTATCTGCTGGAAATCCATACTGCTGTAATTGTATAATTACAGTTATAATTGTGTACAGTGTAATTGTAGCCATTATAGTCTACAAATTCAGGTTGGTATTGTATATAGTTATATGAATTTTGTTTGCTTTTTCAGGTAGAGAGTAGCTTTAATGTATTACTCAAAAGAACATTATATATTATACCATCATATATTGGTAGGTTAGCTATACAGTTGTGGTTTCTAACATTTTCACTATTAAAGCTCTCTGACAATCTCTTAGTAAATCCTAGTAAGGCATTACTGAGTTTGTTTCTGTATAGGATATAGTACCTGTTGATTTTCAAATAAATATTGAAAAGCATTTCAAGTCACCATTCTTAGTTTTGGAAATTTGTAGTTATCTGAGGACCTCATATTCTTAGAATCACTGGTATTGAATCTTGAGTGTTTAGCCCCATGCAGGAATTTCTGTATAACATGAGGAGGGTGTTGGCAGCTACCTCAGTCTCAGTATTGCCACACATTCTTCAAATACTAAAGGGATCCACAAAGAAAGCATGCATAACCCATTAGTATTACCACAAAATGGTATATTATAAACCTTTCTATAAGTAAGGAAGTGAATATTTGAACTCAGCAGAGCCAGTTCTGGATTGATACTAGAGCCAAGAGTCAAGTGGGAGATTGAATGGAAATGAAGAGGTTAGCTGAAAAATGAATTCAAACTCAAGTCCTCAGACTCTAGGCTTTTTTTTAATAATTTTGCCGTTTAGCTTTAATACTTCCTGCTTGGGCCCATATATCACTATACTTCATATTTACTGTGTCACCCTGGGAATAACACTCAATTCTTCTGTTCTTTAGTTTTCTCATGTGGAAAATGGAGGCTATTGCTTACCTTGTATAGTTGGTGTGAGGAGCTAGGTCAGATTAATGGGTTCAAAACATTTTGCATAGTACCTACCACTTGAAGTACTCTGTGAATACTAGTGATCTTCAGCTTATATTTTAGATGTGGTCCTGGTGGCTCATTTTATACTTTGGTACGTCAGCCTGAGATCTTGGGGAGACTCACCACTGGCTCTTGAAAAGTATCTACTCCCTTTTTTCCTGAGAGTTTTTGGGTCAACAAAGTAGTCAGGCTGGTGATAGGTCAGCCAAGGAATATTTGATTTGCATTCCATTCTTTGGAGAATCACTGTCCGGTTCTAGCATTGATTTTGGTTGACATATTTTTTTTCCTTTCAGGAATTAAGAAATGCTGTGCCACTTCCCTCTGACCTCTGTCATTTCAAAAGAGAAATCAGTTGTGATTTGAATTGGTGGCCTTCCATAAATAATGTGTTATGTTTTCCTAGCTGCTCTCAAGATTTTTTTTTTAGTTTAGTTTTCAGAACTTTAATTATGATGTCTGTTGCCATGAACAGGGGACGGGGGTGAACTCAGCTTTCTTGACTTTGTAAGGGTTGTGTCCTTCACCAAATTTGGAAAGTTTTCAGTCATTATTTCTTTGAATACTTTTTCAGTTCTATGGTCTTCTTCGGGGACTTTGAGGAATGTGATTGTTAGCCCTTTTGGATATTATGCCATAAGTTCATGAGACTGTTGATTTTCTTTAGGCACTTTCTCCTTGTTGTTCAGATAGGATAAATTTTGATGCCCTATCTTCATGTCTGTTGGTTCAGTCCTCTGTCATCTTCACACTATTGAACTACTTCTTTTGGTGAGTGATTTCTTTTGAGTTTTAATCATTCCAGTTCTAGATTTTCCATTTTTAAATGACTTAATGTTTCTCTGTTGAGATATTAGATTGTTTTAAGAGAATTTATATTTGCTTGGTAACATTTTTATACTGACTGCTAAAAATTTCTTGCCAGGTAATTCCAATATCTGATTCATTTTAATATAAGACAGGTTAAAGAATGACAAATCATCAAACACTTCAATATTTTCATGTCTACTTACTATATGCCATGCATAGTGTCAAGTGTTTTAAATGGATTATCTCATTTAATATCGCCGATGGTCCCATTGGAGAGTGTATTAGGCAGGAAAAACTGATTTTACTGCAGCAATAAACTGCTCAAAAATTGTAGTGACTTAATATACCATAGGTTTAATTCGGAGTAGAATCATTAGGAGAGCAAATTGAGACGTTAACAATACAGAAACATCATCATTTTTCCCAGGGTCTTTTGTACATAAGGACATGAAAGAGCCATGCTTTGTGGAGGTTTTTTTTTTTTTTCAATCCTACATACTATACTTTGAACTGGTTCTTGCTGTGTTATTTATTTAGAAGTATATTCTACCTTTTCTTAGAAAGTTTAGTCTGTTTTCCAAAGAACTTTGCAGTAGAAATAGAAATAGCAGAATTAACAAATTATTTAACATTTCAAGATTAAAGTTGCACAGCAAACAGAAGAATAGGGGGAATCTATCAGGCCAAAGATGGATGGCAAGGACAAAGAATAGCACCTATAGAAATTGATAAGCAGTGAGATGTCCTTTGTACTGGGTAAGGGTTCTAGTGACCTTTTGTTATTTCCAAATACAAATTATTTGCTTCACCAAAACTTATTCTGCCTCTAGTGTGTTCACTGAAGCAAAAATAGAATGTAAATTACTTTACTCTGTGCCTGTGCCATGGCACACACACAGAAACAGGATATTTAATTAGTGTGACCTCTGTCTTTATAATTTTTGGTATTATTGTTAGTAAAAATGCTTCCTAAAACAGATAATCCATTTGAAGCTGGCTTACTTCTTGTAAGCAGTATGAATAGGTTAGCTTTATTAATTTTAGTAAAACCAAGTGGATTGACAGCTAAATCTATTTAAAGTAAGTCTTAATGCAGAAATGAAATTTAAGGTGAAGTATAACTTCTAGATATATCAGCCACAGTGAGAGTTCTTTTTCAGTTTTGTTAGAAAGGAAACCAGGGCCCTCCCTGGTAGCACAGCAGGTTAAAGCACAGCACTACAAAGCTAAAGCCACTTTAGCACGAGTTCAATCCCTGGCCCTGGAGGTGACCCGCATGGTGTGGTAGACCTCTCTTGACCCATCCACCACTCTCCTCAGTAGTGTATTTCAGTTAACCTGCCTGTTTTTCTCCCCACTCTGTCTCTGGTGAATCCTCTCACTGCCCCTGCACCTCTGGCCTGTACCCCAGTTCTGTATGCATAAATAAATAAATCTTAAAAAAAAAAAAAAGAAAACCAGTATTTGTGAGAAGCTGAAAGATAGCTTTTTTGTAATCTGAAAATTCATCACACAAAATGCAATGGGTAGAATGTTGTGAATCATTTATTGGAAATTAAATTTATTTATTACATTTATTAATTTTAATAAACAAATTTAAAGCAACCAGTAACTAAACTGATAGTATGTCCTGTCATTAGATTGAATGCCGAGAAAACTGTGCATGGGTTAAAATATTATATCCTTCCAAATAGCCCTTGGATTAAAAATTTGTTCTTTCATTTAATGACCTATTAATATTAACAGGTTCTGCTGATTATGGCATCATTCAGGCATGGATGAACATTTCCTTTGAAGCATATATTATAAAAATTATGTTTGGAAACTGGAAACATTCTAAATGCAAATTAAGATTTGTCAGTTGGTATTTCTGCCATTTGCTAGAGATTGGAAAAATAAATGTGACTCTGGTATGATAATACCAGGTAATTTTAGAATTTATAATTTACTTACCTAGGAGAAAAGTTATATAAGGTTATCCAAGATGGACCAATTTTTCATTTTTTATAATTTAGCAAATATTTCTTGAGTACTATTCTGTTCCAGATGCTAAAATATACCAGTATTTGATAGAAAGTAGATGATACACACTGAAACATACATATTAGGTGGTAATAAATATTGTGGATGAAAAAAAAATGAGTAAGAGGAATGAGTTATGAGGTGCTAGTTTATACTAGATGTTCAGGGAAGTCCTCTGAGAGATAATAAATTGAGTCAGTATATTTGGGGAAAGGGCTCATATATGTAAAAGAGCAAATATATATACTACCTTGAAATGGTATCATGCCATTTTTCAAAGATCTATAACAAAAAGTATTGATGAAATTCATATCTTGAATAGCAAGCTCTTATTGTGTGATGGAGTCATCACACTCTAGGCTTCAAACTATACTA